AGGTTTTAGTAAAGGGAAGTGTCTATGACTCCAAAAATGAATAGTCTGTTCATAGATAGACATTTCGAGATCACACACTTCCATTTACTAAACCCAAATGTAATTGTCTATGTCCATGCATTTAACTTGGGCATGTAAGCTGTCGTGCAACCGAGCGTGTACACGAAACAAAGCTCAACTAGGAAACAAGAACATTGTACTACCTCTGTCCCTTTTTATTTAACCATCTTTGACTTTTCCACTCAAAGATGATAAACTTTGATCCATTATTTTAACTAATATATTTATATGAAACTTAATAATTTTATGATTTAATGATAGTATTTTTAACAAAGAATATTTTCATATAATTTTCATATTATCAATATTACAGTGTAAATATATAATCGGTCAAATTTGAACAACTTTGACTTGGAAAAAGGTATTTAACTAAATAAAAAGGGACAGAGGAGTACAATTTATTCACATGTGTTTAATTTGACTTGATGTATCCGTGCGGGTGGGAATAAGACAATCGGCTAATTTGAAAAAAGTGACAACACAAGACCTTGTGTGATGACTTAACACTACTGTCCCAAAGAACTTCAGTGCCAATTTTACATTAGTCATGCTTTGACTCTAATGCGTGTAATATTTGTTGCAAATTCAATTTTAAATTGTAACAAGCTCATCTCTTATTCAACTTCCTCCGCGGGGGAATTGTTAAACACAAAGTTGAACTTCAAACAGTACAATCAACTTGTTTTGCATGTTATGTAATCAAAATAAAATGTTAATTTGGGTAGTCTTCACTTTAAAATTTGTAAACTGATTAAAGACAACAAATTTACAACAACAAAAAAAACTTTGAGTGAGCACAAGGGCGCGTTTTCCATTTGGTGCACATGCCCGAGTTGGTCCAGTTACATTAAATGTCGTCCCCGCCGTTAGAAGTCCAACTAACGTCATCTGATCTTCCATTTTATGAGGGGTAAACGCATAACATTTTTTTTAACCAAATCTAACCACCGGTTCAGCTCGCTACCATCTTCCCCTTCGCAGCTCCCAACAACTCCAACAAGAAGATTGACGGTGGAAATGTTACCGCGTGTACGGGACCGCTCCATTTCACCCACAATTTCTCGGATATGATCGAGGTGGGTTGGGAGGGATGATTGGGACATGATGAGAATGATGCGGTTGTATGTCGTGCCGGAAACTAGGGATTCTTGCGGGGCAAAATCGGAAGAACTTGAGAGCTAGGGCCGATGATTTGAGAGACTTGAAAACTTCGGAGGCTTCCGAGGGAGTTAAAGCTAGATACAAGGTATCGAGATATTCTGAAAGGTCAAGGAACCGGTCTGATGAGGGAGAAGAAGGCGCCTGGAGAATATGAAAGACCTTACAAATGATGTTTCGGCGAGGAAAAACATAGTCGCGAGCGTCCATTTGGAAAATCGGGGAGTCGACTTCGATGGTGAATGAGCGATCATTGTCAGCTTCCGCAACCACCCTACCGTTGTACATGGAGGTAATGGATTTGGGAGTGATAAGCGTGATAAAGACTTTAGGTAACGAAGGTTGAAGAGATAGATACGAAATTAGTGATTTAAACCTTTAAGGAAGGAAATTTACGCGTTTACCCCTCATGAAATGGAAGATCGGATGACGACATGCCGTTAGTTGGACTTCTAACGACGGGGACGACATTTAATGTAAGTGGGCCAACTCGGGGGTGTAATTAGAAATCTCAAAAATACAGGTCTGAAATTTTAATTCCGTGAATAACTGTGGGACCATATATGCGATTTTCCCTTAAAGTTAAAAATAGAAAGGTAGTGGTAAAATGAATCCACCAAGGCCCCAAGGCGTAAAATACTACTCCGTCCGTCCCCCTAATATTGATACAGAAGGGAGTGGTGTGGTTTTTAAGAAAAGTAGATTTATGTGGTTGGTAATGAGTTGATAAAGTGGAAATAAAGTAAGAATGAATTAGAGCCGCACAAATGTTACCAAATATGATATGAGACAATAATAAAGGGACATCCAAAAATGAAAACATGGGACAAGGGGGACGGAGGGAATAGTTTTTATTCCTTTTTGTAATATTTGTGAAATCTTGAAGACACTTCATAGAAAATGAGTAAAAATTCCCATACAAAAGCAATAAACTGGGAAAACTGTCAAATATGTTCTCGAACTTTCAAAAAAAGATCAAATAAGTCCTTATATAGGAGGCTCTGTCCGGACGTCGCGATTTGGGGCGGTTCCCGATGGATTTTTTTATGAAACTTTTTGAGCATCTTATTCATCAAGTCTAGTTTACTCATACCAAATTTCAGCTAAAACTTCAATCGGGAACGCATTCAAAATAATTCTAGAAGATAACTATGCAGTTAAATGAGCAATTATCTTCAAGAATTATTCGGATGTGTTCCTGATTAAAGTTTTAGCTGAAATTTGGTTTGAGTAAACTAGACTTGATGAATAAGATCCTCAAAAAGTTTCATCAAAAAATTCCGGAAACCGCCCCAAATCGCGACGGCCCGACAGAGCCTCCTATATAAGGACTTCTTTGACATTTTTTTGAAAGTTCGAGAACCTATTTGACAGTTTTCCTCAATAAACTATGAAAAGTTTTGTTTTGTGTACACGTCTGATTACTAGCCAGCTTACACGCCCAAGTGTAATGCCTGTGCATAGACAATTACATTTGGGTTTTAGTAAAGTGAAGTGTCTATGACTCCAAAAATGAATAGTCTGTGCATAGATAGACATTTCGAGATCACACACTTCCATTTACTAAACCCAAGTGTAATTGTCTATGTCCATGCATTTAACTTGGACATGTAAGCTGTCGTGCAACCGAGCGTGTACACGAAACAAAGCTCAACTAGGAAACAAGAACATTGTACTACCTCTGTCCCTTTTTATTTAGTCATCTTTGACTTTTCCACTCAAAGGTGATAAACTTTGATCAATTATTTTAACTAATGTATTTGTATGAAACTTAATAATTTTATACTTTTATGATAGTATTTTTAACAAAGAATATTTTTATATAATTTTCATATTATCAATATTACTGTGTATAAATATATAATCGGTCAAATTTGAACAACTTTGACTTGAAAAAAGGTATTTGACTAAATAAAAAGGGACAAAGGAGTACATGCAATTTCTTCACATTTGTTTAATTTGACTTGATGTATCCGTGGGGGTGGGAATAAGACAATCGGCTAATTTGAAAAAAAGTGACAACACAAGACCTTGTGTGATGACTTAACACTACTACTATCCCAAGGAACTTCAGTGCCAATTTTACATTAGAAATTGCTCTAAATAGGAGCAAAAACGTTTTGAAATTCAAAAATAGGAGTATCATATTTTTTTATTCCCTTAATAGGAGTAATTTACCGAGTTTGGAAGAAAATGCCATGTTTTAAAGTTAGAGTAATGCCAAACTTGGCAGAAATTTACTCCTATTCAAGGAATAAAAAATCTGATACTCCTATTTTAGAATTTCAAAACTTTTTTACTCCTATTTAGGGAATTCTGCAATTTTACATTAGTCATGCTTTGACTCTAATGCGTGTAATATTTGTTGCAAACCCAATTTTAAATTGTAACAAGCTCATCTCTTATTCAACTTCCTCCGGGGGGAATTGTTAAACACAAAGTTGAACTTCAAACAGTACAATCAACTTGTTTTGCATGTTATGTAATCAAAATAAAATGTTAATTTGGGTAGTCTTCACTTTAAAATTTGTAAACTGATTAAAGACAACAAATTTACAACAACAAAAAAAACTTTGAGTGAGCACAAGGGCGTGTTTTCCATTTGGTGCACATGCTAGGGGAGGAGAAAAAACGTTAGATTTGTGTAAAATCACATGTTTTCCATTTAATCTCTAGTAACAATTTTTCTTTGTCCTTGTGATGATGACTTGCTATTACATTTCCTTGTAAACTTTTATGGTTATCTTACTCTCAAAACCTTCTTTTTCCATTCATCCAAAACTATATGTAGTTTTAAATTGCTTAAAACTACAAGTATGTACCTCAAACTCGTCCCAACTTACATCCCTCTCATTAATTTGTGTAAACCATTTCCATGTTGTGGTGAGGTTCTTTACATTTCTTCAAGAGCATCTCAATTTAGTCAAGATTTGGAACTCTAGGTTTCCATTCTCCCAAATAGTTAACCTAAGGATCCCTAGCACGGAATAGTTTACTAGGAAGATGCAAATTGGACTTAAATTACAAATGGCTAAAGTGTCAAATAGGTACATGAACTAACTTAAAGTGTTCAATTAGCCCCTTATATAAGAGGTTCTGCCCGACCGTCACCAATTGGGGTGGTTCTTGGTAAAAAATTTTGATGATGTTTTTTGAGCATCTTCTTCATTAAGTCTAGTTTACCCATATCAAATTTAAGCTAAAAATTAAATCGGGAAGACAGTCAAATGATTTTCCGAAATGTACTGCGCTGTTTAACTGTGCAGTTATCTTCAAAAAATCATTTGACTGCCTTCCCGGTTGCATTTTTAGCTGAAATTTGGTATGAGTAAACTAGACTTAATGAAAAATATTCTCAAAAAATTTCATCAAAAAATTCCACCGGTAACTTCCCCAATTGGCGACAGCCGGGCAGAACCTCCTATATAAGGAGTTAATTGAACACTTTAAGTTAGTTCATGTACCTATTTGACCTTTTAGCCATTACAAATTGACATGTATCAAGTGAGACTCTGTCCGAGATACTTGTAGAAGATTAAGAGGCCGTTTGGCAACCCTCATTTTCGGTTTATCAGGCTTATCAGCCAACTTTTTTACCAAACACGTAAATTTTGCTTTCGCGCGCTGAATTCTGTAATAAGCCGAAAAAGTAAGGTTGAAGTTACTTTTCTGGCTGTATTGGCTGAAGTTACTGTAGATGACCATTTTAGCTATTTTTACATATAATTTTTTCTTTATTTTATTAATAAAATATATTTTAAAAATAATTTTTTATTGTATCACATAATCCGCCGTTGCAGCCATTGCTCTGAGCATTTTTACACAGACAGCTCTGATCGCAATTGGATCCATTGGCGGCAGTTGATGCATCACGAAGCGGAATAGGAGAGAAGAGACACAGCAATGGGGCAATCGTCCTCCACCGACCAGCCATCTCCTGAGCAACGGGAAGCAGAATCCTTAGCTGCGTCCACAGGAGCACTTCCGACGCTCCAAAAGACATTTTCTATCCTCTCCGATCCCCAAACAAACAACATACCAGTTGAATCTCTTAAGGTACATGAGTATACATATATAATCATACTTCAAACCCTTTTGTAAATTCCGTGGAACACTTATAATCTCTATGGTTTTAGTATATACTTTTCGGTATTTGATTGTAGTTTCCATTGGTGACAGAAATGTTTCCGATTTACCATCGAGAACTCTGCGAGCGAAGTAACTAGTGTACCTGAAGAATTTCGCGTTCTCTTGAGTCATCTGAGTTCATGTATAGTTGATCTTTTCTTCTTATCTGAAAAGGGAGGAGTGAGCTGGGTGGAGTTCTTGAAAGGCTATTCTAGGTGTTGTGGAAGGAGAATTGCTTCCAGTTTATTCAACAATCTGTTTAGGGTTTTTTCTTTGATGAATTCGAAAGCAGGTCTTCCTGAGAAACTGCAGTTCGATCCAGATGATTATGAATGTAAAGCCAATGGATATCTATTGCCCCTTGATATATCGATGCTTCTTTGGATGTGTTGGATTATGTGGTCGGATTGTAAGAAGCTGAGCTCTACGGAATCTTCAGGACATTCTGGGCTTCTTCCAGATGTAAGTCACTTGGTATTGTCAGCCACTGAATCATGTATTGAAAATTGTACCACTAAATTGGACATTTGGGAATCTTCAACTTTACAAACCAATGTTCAACTTCCTGCTGCTAAGATCACCATGTGGGCCTTGAAGACATTGCCAAACCTTGCATATTGTCTTTCACAATTTGTCCAAGCAAGACTTTTCTACTTTGCAGCCCATGAGGTTTTTCCATTTCTGATTTCTTCTTATTTAGAATCGGACTTTCCAAAATTGGATCGAAGTGCTGATGGTATCTAATATCTATAACTACTGCTAGGACAAACTAAAACAGGGGTTGCATTTTGTGATTGATATTTCCCAAAGGGATGATTCCATTAGCAACCTCCTTACTCGTGGAAGGGCATGGGCTATCTCGCTTACTTTGCAGAGCACTATGAGTGAAGAAATTTCAAAAGCTTGCTTTTCAAGTAGTGCAGATGAGATGAATGAATTGATTCTTTATCGGTCAGTGACTTAGTGTACCACTTTCTTTCTACAGTTCAGGCTTACCAGTGCCTATTTTATTTTTTATTTATATATAAGGGAGTCTCTAACCCATGCGTCCAAGATCCATGTTATAACTCTCTCTCAAAACTATAATACTTCTATATGTTTGGAATTTTCTTTTTTCAGATTTTAAGCTTTTTCTGATTGTAAGAGAAAAGGAGAAACTGTCTTTATGTGTTTTTCTTTAGTATTAGCTATTTTAATGTATTTATATTTATCTGAATGTAATTAGATAATTGTTAGTTGTTAGCGGATAACGATTAGCTAGTTGTTAGTGGATAACTATTAGTTAGTTAGCATTAACTCAGATCCTAATTTTTAGGAGTTAGTTCACTGTGATGTATCCTATTTATACTGCACTTCTGAATGAGAATTATTATTCCGCCTAAATCTGTTCTACTCATATGGTATCAGAGCTGCTGATCACTCAGCCCTAATCTCTCTCAGCCGCTATTTCTTTCAGCCGCTGATCAATCATGAAATCCCCTTCTGGTAGCGCCGATTCAACCAGTGAATCCAATCACACTGGCGGTGCAAATCCCACATCTCAATCTGATTCTTTTCAGAATATTTGTATTACTTCTCATAAATTAAATGGGAGTAATTACCTCCAATGGTCTCAGTCTGTAAAATTGTTCGTTCAAGGACGGGGAAAATTTGGATATCTCACCGGATCCACAGCCAAGCCGGAGGAAGGAGAGGAAGGACTTGATCGATGGGAAGCTGAGAACTCCATGATCATGTCATGGCTTGTGAATTCAATGGATTCAGATGTTGGTCGTGCCTACTTGTTTCTGCCAAGTGCACATGAAATCTGGACTGCCGTCAAGGAAACATACTCAGACTTGGGAAATGTAAGCCAACAATTTGAGATCAAGAATCAATTAAATAAAACACGACAAGGAGACAAGAGTGTCACACAGTACTACACTGAACTGAGCACGCTGTGGCAAGAGTACGATTTGTTTTGCAACTACACCTGGAAATGCGCAACAGATAGTGCATTATTTAAAAAGACCATCGAGAAGGAGAGGGTCTTTGACTTTCTGGCTGGACTAAACAAGGAACTTGATGAAGTTCGAGGTCGAGTACTGGGGAAAGACCCACTACCCAGCACACGGGAAGCATTTGCAGAAGTTAGGAGAGAAGAAAGTCGTAGGCATGTGATGCTTGATGCTGAAACTTCATCAAATGCTGAAACTGTAGCGCTGGCCACTTCAAAAGCTGATGAGAAGTCAGAATTGTCACCCCAACTATTTCAAAAGAAAGAGAACAGACCTGTTTGTGACTATTGTCACAAGATTGGACATATCAAAGCTAAATGTTGGAAGTTACATGGCAAACCAGCTGACTTTACACCAACAAATAGGTCACAGCGCAATTCCAGAGGTGGTTTCCAGGTCTCCTCAGAAGAAACTAATACCTATCCATCCTCCAGTGACAGCTCATCCATCAAGCAAAACTTAGAGCAATTGTGTCGCATCTTGAGTACACAGCAGTTTACTAATAATCCTAATCAAAACACATCTCTACCATCATCCTCATTAGTCCAAAAAGGTACCTATACAGCTGCCTTTAATCTTAGAATACATAAATCCGACCCTTGGATCATTGATTCAGGGGCCACTGATCATATGACTGGATCTTCATATATGTTTTCTACATATATTCCATGTTCGGGTAATCAAAAGGTTAAAATTGCAGATGGTTCATTGTCTGCAATAGCTGGTAAAGGTTCCATCATTGTCTCACCTTTCCTTACTTTATCCAATGTCCTACATGTGCCTAATCTCTCATGTAATCTCCTATCTGTCAGTAGAATAACCACTGATTCTAATTGTCTTGTCAAATTTGTTTCCTCTGAGTGTATTTTTCAGGAGCACAGCTCGGGGAAGGTGATTGGTAGTGCATATGAAAGTGGTGGACTCTACTACTTTGTCTCAGAAAATCTTCAGCGTAAACAAGTTCATAATTCATGTTCTTCTAGCTACGTTTCTTTAGAGAATGAAATAATGTTATGGCACTATAGATTAGGCCATCCTAGTTTTGGTTATTTAAAACATTTATTTCCTACATTATTCAAGAATAAAGATGTTGAAGGTTTTCAGTGTGAAATTTGCCAATTGGCTAAACATAAAAGATCTGTTTATCCCTTGGTGAACTATATGCCTTCTAAACCACTCTTTAGTTCATAGTGATATATGGGGACCATCTCGTGTCAAAACTTATTCAGGGGCAAGATGGTTCATTACATTTATTGATGATCACACAAGAAAAACTTGGATTTATCTTCTTAAAGAAAAATCTGAAGCTGCTGAAATTTTTAAAAAATTTTATTCTATGATCAGAAATCAGTTTCAATCTCAAATTCAAGTTTTAAGAACTGATAATGGCAGAGAGTATTTCAATCAAACCCTTGGAAAATTTTTGATTGAACAAGGCATAATCCATCAGAGTTCTTGTGTAATTACACCTCAACAAAATGGAATTGCCGAGAGAAAAAATAGACATCTTTTAGAAATAACTCGAGCTCTAATGTTTTCAATGAATGTTCAAAAACGTTTTTGGGGGGAAGCCTTACTTCATGCTGCCTACCTAATAAATAGGATGCCAAGCAAGGTTCTAGGCTATCAAACCCCCTTAAAAACTTTACAAAACTGCTTTCCTTACAATAGAGTCTTTAGTGAATTGCCTCCTAAAGTCTTTGGCTGCACCAGTTTTGTTCATAATCATGAAATCAGTCGCAGTAAATTGGATCCTAGAGCCATTAAATGCATATTCTTAGGTGTTTCAAACACTCAAAAAGGTTATAAATGTGTTGATGTGAGCTCAGGCAAGATGTTTGTGAGTATGGATGTCACATTCTTTGAAAATAAACCTTTCTTTGAAAAAACCTCTCTTCAGTGGGAGAGTTTAGTCAGTAATGAAGATAAGTTTTGGAAATGCACTGTACTTCCTATTCCAATTTTTAATAACCAAACTGAGTTAGCCTATAACAAACATACCATAACAAATAATTCAATTTCTCATAAAGACACTGCAAATGTGAGGAACATGGAACCAAATACTGAACTTGGTGTTTACTCAAGAAGGAAAGAGCGACAAAGAGTTGTTCCACAACTTACTGATGCACAACCAATTCCTAATCCAAGCTCTGCTCCAGGTAATACTTTAAGTCCTTATCAAACTCTTGAATTAAATCATGTGTCTGATCATAGTAACCCAAATCCTACCCCTGATCCAAACTTTACACCTAATCAAAGTGATCTAAATGAGCCCATAGCCACTAGGAAAGGAGTTAGAGAATGTACCAAACATCCTATCAGTAACTATGTGTCATATCATAACCTATCACCAAAGTTTAGAGCCTTTACCATTAGTATTACTGATGATGAAACTCCTAAAACGATACATGAAGCTCTAAGTATTCCAAAGTGGAGAGATGTTGTTCTAGAGGAAATGAGGGCATTAGAAAAGAATAAAACTTGGGAACTTACAAAGCTCCCGCCCAACAAACACCTTGTTGACAATAAATGGATTTTCACCATAAAATATAACTCGGATGGTACAATAGAGATGTACAAAGCAAGACTGGTAGCTAGAGGGTTTACTCAAACATATGGGCTGGATTATGAGGAGACATTTGCTCCAGTTGCAAAACTCAACACTGTCAGAATACTTCTTTCTTTAGCTGCAAATCTGGATTGGCCTCTACTACAACTAGATGTTAAGAATGCATTTCTTAACGGGGACTTGGAAGAAGAAGTGTTTATGCAGGTACCACCTGGTTTTAACAATGATAATACTGCAGGAAAGGTGTGTAAACTAAAGAAAGCCTTATATGGACTTGGTTTGGGAGATTTGAAAAAACTATGAAGAAGCAAGGATACACTCAAGCACAATCAGATCACACTTTGTTCTACAAACACAATGTAGAAGGTAACGTGGCAATACTGATTGTATACGTGGATGACATAGTACTGACAGGAGATGATCACGAAGAGTTGGCAGCATTGAAGAAGTTCTTAGCTCAACAATTTGAAATAAAGGACTTGGGGAATCTCAAGTACTTCCTTGGCATGGAAGTAGCTAGATCCGACAAAGGAATTGTGATCTGTCAGAGGAAGTATGTGCTTGACTTACTGAAAGAAACAGGTCTTCTTGGATGCAAACCTGTTTCAACTCCAATTGACCCAAATCAAAAATTTGGAAGAAGTGAAAGTGAGGAAACTGTGGACAAGACCAGATATCAACAACTAGTTGGTAAACTCATTTACCTAGCTCACACAAGACCAGATATAGCATTTGCGGTAAGCTTAGTCAGCCAGTTCATGCACAACCCAAGGTAGCCCTGGAAAAGGAATTCTGTTCAGGAAAACCCAAAATAGACAAATAGAGGTGTTTACAGATGGTGACTATGCTGGAAATAGTATTGATAGGCGATCCACATCAGCCTACTGTACATTTGTGTGGGGAAACCTTGTCACTTGGAGAAGCAAGAAACAACATGTTGTATCAAGAAGTAGTGCAGAAGCTGAGTTTAGGGCAATGGCACAAGGCATATGTGAAATCATATGGATAAGACGTGTGTTAAAAGAGTTAAGGATGCCATCAGAAAGGCCTATGAGATTATATTGTGATAACAAATCAGCTATTAGCATTGCACATAATCCAGTGCAACATGACAAAACTAAACATGTGGAGGTTGACCGAAATTTCATTAAAGAAAAACTTGAGAGTGGAGAAATATGCATTCCCTATGTTCCAACAACTGAACAACTAGCGGATGTGCTGACTAAAGGTCTCTTCAAGCAAATGTTTGAGGAAATTTTGGTCAAGCTGGGCATGATTAATATCTTTGCTCCAGCTTGAGGGGGAGTATTAGCTATTTTAATGTATTTATATTTATCTGAATGTAATTAGATAATTGTTAGTTGTTAGCGGATAACGATTAGCTAGTTGTTAGTGGATAACTATTAGTTAGTTAGCATTAACTCAGATCCTAATTTCTAGGAGTTAGTTCACTGTGATGTATCCTATTTATACTGCACTTCTGAATGAGAATTATTATTCCGCCTAAATCTGTTCTACTCATATTTAGGCTAGTGCAATCTAGATGGAATGTAACGCCATAAAGAACCCGGATTAAATAAGGAGCATCATATCCACTCTTCAAAGTTATTGATAGGTTACAAACATAAGATCAAAATTACGAGGATAAAGAATCTTTACCCTGTGCACTGTAAAATAATTTGAAACTTCATGTAACTATTCTCTTACAAGTTTGATTTGGAGAAATATTGAAAACCAAGTAACTATTCTTTTACGATTATGTTTATTACCTTTTTTAAGCGCTTTATAATGCTCGCTGAAATATATATTATATTCATACAATATCTTATATAACTACTCATTTATATAACAACCAGAGGTAATGAACCTAATAAAAATGACACAAGAAAATGGATTATAATTTCAGGTCATCAATCCATGGGAAAGGTTTGAACAGGTTTTGGTCAAAAACTGAAGGATATAATGGTCCATTGTTGATTTTGGTGGCCGCTTATGAACCTAATAAACATGACACAAGAAAATGGATTATAGGTATTCTCACTAATCAGGGTTTAGAGAGCAGGGATTCGTTTTATGGAACTTCTGGTAGTTTATATGCTATTAGTCCAGCCTTTCATGTTTACTGGTCTTCAGGTATGCAATCTTTCTTGTATATGCTTATCTATGTGACTAAACTGACCAGTACAATAGTAGCATGCCAATTATACATGATGATTGCTTAGGGAAGGAGAAAAATGTTGTTTATAGCCACTTGCATCCAACTGCTAGGATGTATGAGGCTCATCCAAAGCCCGTGGGAATTGCTTTTGGAGGATCTATTGGCAATGAGAGAATATTTCTGGATGAGGATTTTGCTGTAGTCACTCTACGTCATCATGCTGTTGACAAAACCTACCAGAATGGTCCCCTTTTCCCCGGTCAGGTTAGCATCCTTACTCACAACTTACTTGCTTACTTACCTACTTACCTACCCCCTTATGTATTTGTTTTTATCTGTTTTTTAATGATTTCTAGTATTACTTGAGAATATTTTTTTATATTTTTTTGGTAGGAAAAGTAGCTCAGAAGATTCTTAAATGTTATATTTTGTTAAAAAATAATCAATCTTTTATTAGAGAAATTAAAATAAATATAGGAATTGATTTTTGATGGTTGAGATAGTTCGTATACATTCTTTTTTAAAATAAAATTGTTATAGATATAGAATAATTGATCATCAATTGATGTCATTATGACTGAGCGAAAAAAATAAGTTCAATCAGGAACCAAACATTCATGGCAAATTCGGGGCACCTAGCCACCACACAGCCTGATATTAGCAAAGTTGCCAAAAGCCCTATATAGTAAAATTAAGGGCGGCTTAGGACATTGGTGGATTTCAAGATACATTAACTGCTAGAACATCAACTATTTGGATTTCAAATCGCTGATCTATAGTTATGTATAGATTTTGAGTACTATGATCAACGTTCTCACCCATTATTTGTTCTGTAGGGGTTTTTGCCACTTGAAGCTTCAATAGTTGATGTTGAGGTATGGGGGTTGGGAGGGAAAAAAGCGAAAGAGATACAAAGTGCGTATAAGAAGAGGGAGGAAATCTTTACTCAGCAAAGGAGGAAGGTAGCAATCCACTTTGTTATCATTATTTTCTCACTCCAGGTTTCAAAGCTCCCAAGTTTAAGGGTGTGATCTTATTAATTCACTTGATGAGTACCAAGAGTGTAATTGGGTCAGATCATACTTTTAGGACAGCTTTCACCCTATTTGACCATTAAATGGATTTCACATGACACTGTATTAATGAATTCCTGGCATATACAGTTGAAATTTTAATAAAAATACATTGGAAATTATGCCCCATGCCAAAAAACCCCCACCCTAATTGGCCTGTTTATTGTTATTTATTATTGTATTTTTATTTTTAATTTTCACCAAATTGATGTCACCTTATCCCGGGCTCCCAGAATATATACTCCAGTTGACCCTGCCATGGCCCTGTTTAGGCTGTACACGGCAGTGTATCCTGCTTATGGCCTAGTGATGAGCAGTAACTCAGTAAGCACTGGTATTACATATATATGGACCTGATTGATTATAACAAAGAAAATGAAAAAAGTAAGATGCGTATATAGATTATCATTGTTTTTGCATTGTTTTTGGATGTTATTTTGGATGTTATTGCATGGCAGGTGGACTTGAAAACGTTTGGGAGTTGGGAAGACTCGCCTGAGAAGCAAATGATGGACATGGTCACTGATCCCAATGCTGTTCGCCGCGAAGATCGATAGTCATTAAGATTCAGCTTCTGCCCCTCAAATTTCATACAGTACTACGTATGAAAACGTGTTCTGTACAAAAATGTATATAATCTCTGCAGTGAATAAAAAATGTTTATCTTTCAACCTGTTGGTTGTCCTTTACCGTACACCTCTCTTATGCCATGATGCCATCTCTTCAAGATAGTAGCTACACGTAGGGGATGACAAGGTCCTGGTCGGAGTCAGGATCGGCTGGTTCGTGGGACCAGACTGGACCTTGGATAGCAATTTCGGCTAGGGATGGGCCATGGGTGCCGGACACGTGGGCAGCCGGATGCCGATCCTGGTTATGTAATATGGGGAATTGGGGACCATGATTGGCCGATCCAGTCTTGGTTCCTATAAATAATCTGTCTCGGTCTTCTTACCTTCAACTCTCTCTTGTCTTCATCAATCTATACTTTCTCTATTTTATTATCATAATAGTTAGAGTTAATTATCAAAATAGGACTAAAAGTCATTCACTTTTCACAAATAGGACCAAAAATGAACTATGTTTGCATAGGACTAATTATGTGTACATTGGACAATTATACCCTTATAACTATTAAAATGTTTTAATTCCTAATAAAATAATAAAAAATAATAAAAATTCGTAAAAAATACAAAAAAATTAAGAAAAACATTTTCGATACTAAAAATTTAATTAATTTTTTTTTTCAAAAAAATTAAAAAATTTTAAAAAAAATAAAAATAAAAACTCAAAAAAAAAAAAATCGCCGCTGCCTCTACTGCCTCAGCACCACCACCTCCAGTCACCAGGGAAAAAAATGCCAAGTTCATTACGAATGCCATATTTATGACAGAAAAAAATGAAAATGTTGGCATTTGAAAAGAGAAATATGCCACTTTTTTGGCATTTTCAGAAAAAAATGGCATTTTTCCGGGAAAATGGCATTTTTTTCATCGGTCGGAGGTGGTGGTGATGGGAGGTAGTACAAGCGGTGGGAAAGGCATCCATATTTTTTTAATTTTTTTTTTACGGAGTTTTACTATTTTTTATTAATTTTTTTAAAAATAAAATTATTTAAAAAAAAAAGTTTTTGAATTTTTTATTTTATAAAAATTTTATAAATTTTTAATTATATTTCTACGAATTTTTGGTTTTTTTTCGAATTTATTATGAATTAAACATTTAATTATGGCTTTTGACTATTTTTAATTCATATTTAATGGAAGGGTGAGAATGGAATGCAAAAATAGGTATGTTTCCAATAGGACTCATATGGTCCTATTTTGGAATAAAAACATAGCAAGTCCTATTTTAGGTTTTTCCCATAGTTTTAGTCCTATTTGAACTAATTTCTATAATAGTTAATAGGTAGTATTTCTTTCCACACACATACACACATTCCCAAATCCCTATTTAATACGGAGTATTCTTCATAAGTCATGGAAGCGTCTTTCACTATATAGTAGGGGTGGACTCGGGTCCGGGACGGGTCCGGGTCGGGCCTAGGCCCGGGTGGGCCGGTGGTTCAGGAATGGTGGACCCGGGACCGGCCCGGGTAGCCACCGGGTCCGGGCCGGGCCTCCGGTTTGGAATTTTTTTTTGCTTTCCTACCCCCCCCCCCCCTCCCAAACCCCCCCAAACCCATCCTACCCATCAAGCCCAACCCGGGTGGAACCCCAAAAATGAAAAAAAATAAAAAAAAAAATCAATTTGGCCCGGGCCCGGGCCTGACTCGGCCGGGCCGGTTCACCAAATTTGAGACCCGAGCCCGGAACCGCCCTACCCCCGGGCCTAGGCCCGACCCGGACCCGAGAACCGGGCCAGTCCCGGTCCCACACAGTAGCGGACCGGGCCGGTCCACGAGCCGGGTGGCCCGACCCGAGTCCAACCATACTATATACGTTGCAAAGTCAATTTACTATATTTCATAATGACGAGTCAAACATGTTCTAGTACAATGTTTTCATTGTTGGAAAATTTTGTGTTTCGAAAAATAAGATAGTAGCAGTTATGGTACTCTGTACAAACATTTTCATACAAGGCATTTACCACATATCCTTGCCAACTAGGGGTGGACCCGGGCCGGTTCTGGTTTGGGCCTAGGCCTGGCTGAGCTTTTATCTGGGAAAGGTGGAACCGAAACCGGCTCGGGTAGCCCGCGGTTCCGGTTCAAGCTGGGCCCAAACCGCAATGCAATGATGAATAAGCGTCGTGTTCAGTTTTTAATTTTTCAAATGATATGTACCGTTTCATAATCAATAAGGCTTTATGTTTATTATTGTGGTATTGTACTATTTATTATTTTGTTATCTGAAATCATTTGAGACTTGAAGTAAGCAATGTCCAAACATATTCACTTCCCAGCTGCAATTAAATTTAGGAGAATTCTATGGTACATCAGTAAATATAGCATGTATCGGTGCATTCACTTTTTAAACGAATCATATATTGATGGACTCGGGCCGGGTGGCCCGACCCGGAACCGGCTCGGGACCGGTACTGTTCCGGCCCGGCCTGACCCGGTGGCCCGGTCAGTGAGCAATCCGGGTAGGTCCGACCCGTGGGTTTTCCGGTCCGGGCTCGGGTCACCCAAAACAAGGCCCGACCAGGCCGGGCCCGGTTCGAGCCAAAACAAATTTTTTTCAATTTTTTTAAATTTTCGGGTTGGGCCGGGTATTTTGGGCCATTTGGGGTGGTTTGGGGGGTTGGGGGTGGGAGGGGGGTTAATTAGGAAGAGGGGAAAAGAAATTGATAATGGGCTCGGCCCGGCCCGGACCCGGTGGTTACCCGGGCCAGTCCCGGATCCACCACTTCTAAACCACCGGCCCGCCTGGGCCTAGGCCCGACCCGGACCCGGCCCGGACCTAGGCATGGCAATGGGTCGGGGCGGGGTGGGTATTGCAAGACCCAGACCTGCCCCGTGACTTGGCGGGGCGGGTCCGCCCCGCGACCTGCACGAGTCCAAACTTTTTGACCCATGACCCATGACCCGCCCCGCCCCGCCGTAACCTAATTAGCTAGTATGTATTTTTATTAGTGGGAAGTTGTTACCAATTGAATCTACATAAAGTTTATCTCTAAATAATAATTACAAATTAATATATTAAATCAAATTCATGATACCCTAAAAATTTCAAAAATTAAGGAAAAATTACTCAGACTTGAATAGTTGATCTATTAAATTATTCTAATAATCGAATATATGTATTAAAATACTATATATAAGGAAAACATTGATAATATGTCGTTCATCTCATTCTAATATATGTATTAATATATTATACGATCAAAGAATTTATGATATACCGTATACACACATATGTATGTTGAAGTATATTTGTAGTATAATTTAAGAAAAAATATGTATGTTTTTGTATTGAGCAGGTCGGGTCGGAGCGGGTTAGGGCAACACGGGTCAATACTAATACCCGGACCCGCCCCATTGTATAGGCGGGGCGGGGCGGACCCGCCCCATTTGGAAGACGGGCCGGGCCGGACCCGCCCCAAATTTCTCGGGCCAGGGCGGGTCACTGCGGGTCGGGTTGTTTTGACATCCCTAACCGGACCCGAGTCCATCCCTATAATCAGATGATACCACAATGCCCACTCACGTCCTTATCATCCGGATTTAACTTTTTGCAGTTTAGCCTCCCAAAATGAGAAAGTGGAGAAAAATAAAATTGTCTGTCACTTCACCTCTTTTCGTCAATACCAGTTCCCAAATAACTACCTGTGATGCTCTCGTACTTCTCCTTGTTAATCTTATGCGTAAAGCACCTCTTCAGCACCTCAATTGCCGAGGTTGGAACCGAGATTTCCTCACAGACATTGTCATTTCCACCAAAAAGCATGAACTTCAGAAAACCTTTATCATTTTTACTCTCATTTCCTTCCCTGAGAATCTCACTAGTCATGTTATCCACTTGGTCCACCACAACATCTGGCCGGATTTCCCTAATCATGCATTCATCATCCATAGCCGACTGCTCAGAGGTTCTGAACACAAACCACGTATATAACAGCGTCCACGCATAAAAGACAATCTTGTGGTCGAAAGTGTAGTATTCACTGATATTGTCATTTCAAATTTACAGACGCAGTTTGAGAAAGTAGCTACCGAAGTTGGTGATGGTGAAATCAATAAACCTGAAATTCATGTGAAAACTAAAAGAAAGAGTGGAAAATTGTCAATAACATAGAGTAATGTATCGTTCACTTACACAATGTAGGAGACTTTGTTGTTACTTTTGCAAAGAGTGAAGAGAAGAGGTCAAAGAAGGTTAGGTTTGCAATGAAGCACAACTTGGTTTGGAAACCACACTGCCCATTGGGTTTGAGCATTTTATTGTATTTGGCTATGAATGTCACGCCTCGGACCTACCCGGACACGTCAACAACCCGCCGTACAGTACGAATAGTCAATCGAAGTCCAACTCATCCATACTATACAAGGTGTGTTTGAATACCATTCACACATAGCACATCCATAAACAAACATAATGCAAAACATTCATTTAAAACAGCGGAAGCATTTAATACGAGTGTTTATGCCACACTTTGGCAAACATGGGCATACAAGTCCCCCAAATAATTATTCAAAATAATATCCATGAGCTTTATATAAGTGTTTTTAAAACAGAACAGAAGAAGCACGAATCACGTCTTCTCTCCTTGATCCTCCCGAAGCAACAGGCGATGGTAGCAACCTTCAAGTTCTACCTGAAACTGTGAGGTGGCCTCCCCCGTGCAGGGGATGTCAGTACTTGGAAGAATTTGACAAGTACAATGACAACTATATCTAGTATAATCAACGCTTTAATTTCTAAGACCCTCAAAATAGGGTGATATCATAATATAAATATTAATTTATATTTCACACTTATTATCTCTATAATAAGTAAATTCATTTATTTTTCGGCACACGGCCCTTATTACATATTCCTTTGCATTTATCAATCGTACAATCCAACCCGTGGGTCTTATTATTTCTACGGGATTTGCTACCGCTGTCTGAGGCCTCACGAGGCCCTCGATTCGGACTTCAACATCCCACCCCTGGACTCATACCCATCATCCCGTAGGAGGGTAAGACCCTTCGGGGTCCTATCTTATGTTTTTTTTTTTTTTTTTTTTTTTTTTGGATGAAATGTAAATTTATATTAACACCCAAAAGAAACTATACATCATGGGTTTTAGATCTCCTAACCCCCCCCCCCACCCCTACAAAATGTAGGGGTAAGGAGAGGTTTTTATTCGATCTAATACAAACATCAAAAAATAAAATCAAGGGGGGCCTAAGTATAGCATACCAAATGCCCCTACCCAAAAGGCGGCTATGAATAAGGGAGGTTATATCTCACACTCCCTTAATACACACAAAAATCAAAAACTCTAACTATGATGTAAGGCACATCAAATTGATCATCAACATCCATTAT